AGAAGCTAAAGTAACAAAACAATAGCTAAAAGTAGACAAAGGCTAACTAGAAGCTAAAGTAACAAAACAATAGCTAAAAGTAGACAAAGGCTAACTAGAAGCTAAAGTAACAAAACAATAGCTAAAAGTAGACAAAGGCTAACTAGAAGCTAAAGAAACAAAAAGCTAGCTAAAAGTAGACAAAGGCTAACTAGAAGCTAAAGAAACAAAATGTTAGCTAAAAGCAGACAAAGGCTAACTAGAAGCTAAAGAAACAAAACACTAGCTAAAAGTAGATAAAGGCTAACTAGAAGCTAAAGAAACAAAACACTAGCTAAAACACAAAGGCTAACTAGAAGCTAAAGAAACAAAATGTTAGCTAAAAGCAGACAAAGGCTAACTAGAAGCTAAAGAAACAAAAAGCTAGCTAAAAGTAGATAAAGGCTAACTAGAAGCTAAAGAAACAAAAAGCTAGCTAAAACACAAAGGTTAACTAGAAGCTAAAGTAACAAAACACTAGCTAAAAGTAGATAAAGGCTAACTAGAAGCTAAAGTAACAAAACACTAGCTAAAACACAAAGGCTAACTAGAAGCTAAAGAAACAAAAAGCTAGCTAAAAGTAGACAAAGGCTAACTAGAAGCTAAAGAAACAAAACACTAGCTAAAACACAAAGGCTAACTAGAAGCTAAAGAAACAAAATGTTAGCTAAAAGCAGACAAAGGCTAACTAGGAGCTGAAGCAGCTAAAGGTTAAAAGTAATAACTTGCTATAACTAGCTCTGCTGCATGACTAATCATTTAACTACATTAAAGCTGCATCTACTGCTAGCTGCCACTGCTAATTGAAATTCATTCATTCATTCATTCATTCATTGACCTTAAACGTCTTTACCTTAGTTTGACAGATATTGAGCTAAATGAAGAAGCTAAAGTTAAAATGATGCTAACACCCTGCAGAGTATCAAACCTCCCAGCAGACAGGTGATGTGGGTCCCTGGGTTTTATTTTGCAGGTGCGGTCCCCCAGGTGTTCCTCACGGGCCCCCCAGGAACCGTGCAGATCCCCGTCTCGGCAGTGCAGCTACACCCAGTACGGCAAGATCTCCACTTCACAAGTGAAACTCTCATATTCCCTCTGCACCCAGCATGCCACAGTGACCTGCTGCACGAACGCACCCTAACAGAGCACCGGCACACGAGCTGCAGAGTTTTACACCTGCTGCTGGTTTTATGTGTTGTTGGAGGAATGTGGGCGTTTCTTGTTTTAAAGCACACGCAGTGAAGCACCACCGTCAGCTGTGCATGGAAGCTTTGTGTTCTTTTAGAACCGTCCCTTTAGATTTAATGTTTCAGCACAAATACAAACTGAAAAGGTTTTTATGAATTAAACATGATTTCATTCTGATTTTATTTACTCTTCTGGATTTGAGGTTATAGATTGTGGCCCGTTTTATTATTTCATCCTAAATATTAGTAAAAGCATTTGCAGGACGTCSGTGTATGGCAGGCCAATTTAACATAAAATCTTTTTCTAATTACATTCTAGATCAGTAAAAACGAGTTTTGACTAGAAACAACTACATTTTGATTGTTCTYAATGTGTCATATTTGACATATTCAACTGGAATTATGAATTCAACATGAACAGATAATTTGTCTGTCATTGCAGCAACCTAAAGTTCTGCACCCAGCAGGGGACATTTCCTAATTCAGATATCTAAAAATGTCATTTTGACTCCTCATATTTACGTTTGAGGTACAGTATCTTGAATTGTTCGAGTGAAAATGTAAATGCAGATATTTTAAATGACCATTCAGGATAGTCAAAATGTAGTTGTTTCTAATCAGAACTAATTTTTAGATGATTACGGAGAGTCAGAGGATTTTATGTTAAAATGGCCTGCCGTAGAACCCATACAACTAAATAGTAACATTTTTTTAATTAGTCAAAAATATAATTAGATATCTTAGTTAACTAATAAGTTCAGGCCAACATTGTAAACAAGAAACTCTTCTTAATGTTTTGCCTGTTGAAATAAAGGTTAAATAAATAAAATAAAGTTATAGACCAGTTTCAGAAATCTGAATGWAAGTGTGGTGAAGCTGATTATATGTTAAAATGGCCTGCTGTAGACTCCATGCAAATAGATAGCAACTCTGTCATTTAAARTGGTTTTAAAATATAATTAAAAATATTTTAACTAAAAGAACCCATTTTTAGAAATGCACAATGGAATTAGTCTGATTTTATGTTAAAATGGTCTGCCATAGCCTCCATACAACTAGCTAGTAACTTTGTCATTTAAACCAGTCAAAACTATAATTAGAAATGTATTAACTAATAAATAAAAGCAGTTTCAGATACCTGGATTGTTAAGTGTGGTGAAGCTGATTTTATGTGACAATGGCCTGCCGTAGCACCGTCTGTGTTGGCCCTTTCTGATATGCCGTGTGTGTGTGTGTATGTCTCTTCCTGACACGCCGCTCTGTCCCGCAGATGGTGATTGGCCAGCAGTCGAGCGGCAGCAGCAGTAACCTGACGGAGCTGCAGGTGGTCAACCTGGACCAGAGCTCGAAGGGCGACTGACAGGCGGCGGCGGCGGGAGCTGCTGAACACGGCACACCCAGGGAKACACACACAAATACACACATCTCTATTTATTGTGATGCCTTCCTACAAAAACAAACRATCACTTTTCTGAATGTGATTTTTACACACATAAAGAAACAATCAAGGGCCTATGTGTGGCAGATTATACAGTATGAAGTATGTTTTTTGGTATATAAATATATATATATTCGCATAGGAGATATATCACTATCCTTGGAGCCTATTTTCTATGCTGTTAGATGGTGTTATTTTTGTGTGAGCGTGTATTTTTCTCTTTATTTTTTTAATATAACTACACAAACGCTGCAAGGTGCCACAGCTTCACACCAGCCAAAGAGACATTTGTTTGTCTGAATGTTCCAGTGTGAAAAATGTGCACGAAAGCACGTGTCTGTGTGTACACATATCTTCCTTTGTGTTTTTGTAAACGGGCAGGGACAATCTTACTGACCTACAGAGGAAAACATAAGAGACGTTTGGAAAATTGTAAATAAATTTTTTGAAGAGGAAAAAAAATGTATTTTTTAGTGCGGTTCAATTTGTGCGTTGGCATGTAGTGTTTTTTTTTTTTTTACCTTTTTTTTAAAATGTACATGGAAATTGATTTGCATAAAACTTGTTTCTGTAAATTAATTTAATACACATCYTTTTGTTCACGCTGTCTGGGAGTTTTTCACTACAAGATGGAGACAGAAAACAGAATGTTTTCTTTGTTTTTTTGTTTTGTTTTTGTGTTTTTGTTGAAAGAAATCATGTAAAAACATCATGTAGCTGGATGATTTCAAGTCTGACATGCTGTCGCGTTTCTGTTCATGAGCTCTGGATTCAGTTTTGCCCGTGCTCTTATCTGGCACTTTAAAGCAAAAATGACTATCCCGTAAGTTAGCTTAAAATCATGAAATGCTATCTGATCAGCCTGGGGTCGCATTTCATCTTGCGTCCAACTCCCGGGAGGACTACAGTCCCGTGAAACGTATTAGAAAACTCCTTTTAATGTGAATCAGTTTTCATAAAGCATGAATTTATTGAGCTGTAAGCGCTTTTAGGCAAAAGTTACCCTGATCTGTTTTTTGATATTAAACATTTTTCTTTAATTTAGCTAAACTAGCGAAACATGTTAGCCCTACAACTCCTACTTTGTGTTTAACCTGAAGCAAAAGTCATCATTTTCTGTGCTGCAGYTAAATTTTGTCCCTAATAAAGCACTCTTATTTAAATCTGCAGAACTTAATTGGGTTCTTAATAAATGTGACGTAAGCGCGGTGAAATGTTAACATTAGGACCTCGACTGCAATCAAATAATGAGTAATTACACCAAGAGCCTCTCCTCTGCACCYTAGTGCCTCTTATCTGATTCCTAAAGCAGTTTGACGACAGAAATGTAGTTTTTATTTTTTCCACAGCAGCTCYTCACATCATCCTCTGCTGCACCCAGAGTTGAGACACTCTCCTGGACTCAGAATTATCTGGATGATTGAGCGTTTTAACCTCCTCATTGCTTGCCGCTCTGCATCTGATCTGCTTCTGTAAAGACATTTTACTGAAAAACGTAAAAAAAAAAATTTAAAAAGTTACGGACATTCAGTGCTATTTTTCTGGTTATTAAAAATGTTTAGAAAGATCGAACAGATTTTGTGGTTTTACCCCATCGTTGAAAGAAATGGTTATTTTGTGTATTTTTGTTTTATTGTACAGACGTTTTGTAATAAAATGATGAAATCTGCTGGAGAGGATTTGTGTTTCCAGTGAAATCCATTAAAAGCAACACTAAAGGTGCCTCTTGCTTCAGATGGGATCTGCAGTGAGAGTAGGGAGCAGGTGGAAGAGAGCCTGGAGAGGTGAAGTGTTACATCCTGTTTATATCACTGACCTGTTCGACAAGTCTTTCCTCAGAGGTTTAAAACTAATGGAGCTAAAGAAACATGAGCGTCTTGAGAAACTAAAAGTTGAAAATTCGATTCCAAATGTCCACTGGAATTATTTTCATCAACTAACATTTCAGGCAAGCCAGCTTATTTTGAAGACCTCTACACTAAAGATAACTGGAAGCCTCTTTTAGGCGTTAAACTAAATATATAATTTTTGTGAGACAAAATTTCACAAGTTAGCGTAAGTTGTCTAAAACTTTAGTGCGACTGGGCCTTAAACTGAAAAACTCAAGAACAAAAATAAAAAGGGACGGAAGAACAAAAGCTTGTTGGTTCGATTTCTGATCTTGAAAGTTTCTATTGAACCATCTGCATGGAGGAGGTCATGAAAAAGTTTATTTTTTTATGAGAAACATTAAAATAAATGCACTGAAGAAAGATGCAATATGTGTGAAAAATGAGTTAAGTCACGATTTGATGCAGAAAGATCAGGTGATCAGGGTTCAAATCCCACCATCAACTTTGGTTATACAATAAAACAAAATTGAACAAAGCCTGAAATACCTAGTGTCAAAAATTTTCATTTTTAAGTATCACTACTTGGCTAACCTTGGGGATGTAAAACTTTTGTGAGCGTGAGTTGAGTACTGGCACAGTAATTAAAATCATGACTTTAGTGCAGAAGGATCAGGGTTCAAATCCCACCACCAACTTTGATTATACAACATAAAATTAGATAAAGCCTAGAAAAACCTAATGTCAAGTTTTCTTCATTTTTGAGTATCACTTGGCTAACCTTGGGGGTAGTTGAGGATTAGCACAGTAGTTAAAATCACATAACTAATGCAGGAAGATCAGCAGCCCAGGGTTCAAATCCCACAGCTGACTTTCAGGTACATTTGTCAAAGATGCTTTAAAATAAATACTAAGTAAATAAACATGTAGATTTGACAGTTTTTAAGATCAACCCTCCAAAGCAACAGGTAGATGTGATGCAGGATGGACAGAATTAGAGGCGGGAAAACTCAGGTTGACAGACACCTGCAGGCTGTGGAGCCAGATTATCAGCTGAGATCATCAATCTGAGATGCAGAAACACAGATCCACAGTGTTTAATAAGGCATCTTTTCTGTCAGCTAAAAAAAAAAAAAAATCACAGACTGAACTGTTTTTTTTTCTTTAAATAATGAAAAATCATTTAGGCATGCATTTACACCAGATAGTATATCTCTATTGCTATCGTACACAGAAAATATACAAACGTATGAAAAATAGTAGGAAACATAAGTGATATAAATGTGCGTGACTGAATGTCCAAGTTTTAGGGTTTTTTTTTTTTTTTTGGTTTATGAAGAAAAAGATTTAGAAAAAAAATTAATAAATTTTAAAAATTAAGACAATGTGCAAAATCTGAATCCATGCAAGCAATTAATTGCATAATGTAGCTCAGGTGCAGATCTGTGGAGGAGAAAGAAACCAGGAAGTCGTGGTTTTGATGAATAATACCATCTGGGATTACATTAAAAAATGACAATAAAGATACATTAAATAGTATTTTTATAAGCATTGATCTGATGAGCCACTAAAATTAGAGATGCCAAGGCAACACAAAGCACCACAAATACATTTTTTCATCAATCAAAAGAAGAAACACTGTGAAAAAACGTGTTACGTTTTTTTTTTCCAGGCTTAGAGTTCAATAAAGTTTGAACTAAATCCAGCAGAAAAAAATCTAACTTGTTTTATAAGGATGAACTGAAAACACGTCAACATAAAAAGGTTCCATTTTTAAATTCCAGACTTAAGACTCTGCTTATTGAAAGTTCTTCTAAACATTCCAGCAAATAAATGACTGACAACACTGCTCTGAGAAGAAGCAAACGGGGGTCCGCAGACAGAAGACGACGCGCTCTAACATCTAAAAATGTACAAACGATGCAGTGCAATGAGGTCCGTGTGCAAATCATCTGCAAAGTTCACGTTTCTGCGAGGAAAACGTGACGGGTGGTGGCGCATGGAACGCTTAAAGCCCAACTATAGACGAGTTTAGTCACAGAAACAGACGAGTTAAAAAGGCAACCTGACAACAAACAAAAAGAACAAACAAATAAATAACTTGGCATTTAAAATGAGTGCAGCATTTCTCATACTGCACTTGATTTAGGTTATTTTGTCTTCAAACAAACATGAAGGTTTTTACCATTAAAATAATGTCTCAAAAGGAAACATTTGTAACTGAAATGTTTTCACATTAAGGCAATGACTTTTTCCTTTTTTTTTTACAAATAGATGGAAATGGGACAAAATAAATACATTTTCTCCTGAATCATTAGACACGCACGCACGCACACACACACACACACACACACACACACACACACACACAGAGAGAAAAGGGGGGCAGTGAAAAACTGCAGAGTCCAGTGAACACCTCTCTGCAGGCTGGAAAGTGTCTGAGCTTGAAAAAAAAACAAGATCAAAAACTTTCCAAAGAGGAACCCTTCTTAGGAACGAGGAAGAGGAGCGATGAAGCCCCTCCGTGTGGGTGTTAACAGTCATGTGGGGGGTGGGGGAGAACCATGAGTGGGGATGTTTTACCAACCCTGTGCCACCGAGAACCCAGAAAGGTTCATTCGTCCCATCCCGACCCGACCCGACCCGACCCGACCCGACGGCCCAGCTGAGGCAGACGGTCGAGCAGCGGGAGGAAAAATAAAATAAAAATAACTTCACGGTGAGGTGGAGGCTGTGGCGTGGTACTTGACGAAGGCGATGGCTGCCAGCTCTTTGCAGAACTCCTCCAGCACGATCACGCCTTCCAGCAGCGTGGTGTGGTCGATGCTGCGAGGACAGAGGGAGGGAGGTGAGCGTGCCAATATTAATTAATTAATATTTAAAATGAGGGAGTAGAACAGAGATACGTACGTGATGCCCTCCGGCTCCAGGCCTAATAATCTCTTCCTGACGAGCAGCAGTTTGGAGGTGAAGTCTGGGATGCGGTGAATCCTCAGCATCAGGTCTCCGACCACCTGKAGCAGGTAAATCAAACCACAAAGACAGAAAATCGTGTTTCTGGTAACAAAGAGCAGCAGCTTCTCAGGTAATTTAACTGAAGCTAGTTTAGAGAAACGGTTTAAGAACTTAAAGAAATCCTGCATTAAATTAAAGCAGGAGATTTGATTTGATTTATTTGGGACCACACTGAACAACAACACTCCTGACCCTGTTTTATACCTGATTTAGCTACAGTAGCTGTGTTTCCACTGACCATGAAAATGTGCGAATTAGAATTTCGAAAATAAATTTGCTCAATGGAAACACGTCAATTTCAAAAAAAATTATGTTTTTCGACAAAATGTTTTTGCACTAGGATGAGGTGGTATTTTGGCCTTATTGAAATTGGTGTTTTTCGCAAAGCTGCAATGGAAACACTTTTTTTTGCGCCACGGGAGTCACGTGATCAACAACCAGCTGTTTCTACTGGTGAAAAAGACGATGACAAAGAAGATAACAGGAAGTAGAAGTAGTAGTAATATCACAGAAGTAGTATAAAGTAGTAAACTCACCGACTACAATTTCCCAAAAACACAGCATACGTAGGCGCTCCCAAGTAGGGACTTGTCTCTGGAAAGCCTCGATAAAAGAAGCCGACYTCTCCTCTGATGATTAGGGGTGTAAGAAAATATCGATACACTGAAATATCGRGATATTTCATTTCCCGATACTGTATCGATATTCTAAAGCCCTGTATCGATTTTTAATTAAGTTTTAAAATGTCAACCTTCTTGCCAACCGTTCATTTTTATGTTGTAGTTCAGCCTCTGACCACTAGTTGGCAGCAGTGAGCCAGACATTTGGCTCCTCTACCTCTTGAGCGCCAGAGAGTAAGGGTAGCATTAGCATTGTAAGTAAACATTAGCTTTTTTTTCAGTAGAGGTTTTTATTTAATAGAATTTTTGGACAAAAAAAAAATCGTAATATATTGCCTTGCTTACAGTATCGCAATATATCGGGATATATCGTATCGTGACCCCTCTTATGATATGTATCGTATCGCCAAATTCTTGCCAATACACGGCCCTACTGATGATGAGCACTAGTGTCGTGGTAGCAACATGTGTTTACATCCATCGCCGCCATGTTTGTAATGACTTATCAAGAGAACAAATATATTCACGCGTGACTTTAATAGCATTTCTAACTTAATGGAAACACAGTTAGGAAACTGTGTTTTTTAGACATTAACAGAATATCAACAAAGTTTTGCGCACATTTGCAATGGAAACACAGCTACTAAAACCTAATGGCTAAAATTAAACATTAATATGAATTCAGCTTTTTTAAATAAAAATGCATAAACATTCAAAGCTACTGAATTAATACAAACACTTATGTTCAACTTCAAACTGATCAACTTTGTTTTTGTTGCAAATATTCACTCATGAATTTGATGCTGCAACACGTTCCAACACAYCTGAGACAGGAGCAACAACAGGCTGGGAAAGTTGAGGAAAGATAAATAAAACAGCTGTTTGGAGCAATGAAACAGGTGAACAGGTTGAGTGGAAACAGGTGTCACGATAAAGGGAGCATCCTCGAAAGGCTCAGTCGTTCACAAGCAAAGATGAGGCGAGGTTCACCACTTTGTGACCAAACTGTGGACACAAATAATTTAATGATTTCATCATCTGCAGTCCATAAAATCATTCAAACATTCAGAGAATCAGCAGCGAGCCTGAAACCAACACTGACTGAGCCGTGACCTTTGACCCCTCAGGCAGCTGCATTAAAAACCCCACATCATTCTGTAACTCAGGAAGACTTCAGAAAACCACCGTCAGTGAACACAGTTCATCTCTATATCTARAAGTTAAAGCTCTATCACGCAAAAACCAGATATCAACAACACCCAGAAACACCGCAGMCTTCTCRGGACCGGAGGTTACCTGACACAGACTGACAGGAAGTGGGACAGAACTGTCCAGGGTTTTATTATGAAGAACAAAACAAGAGACCTCAGACTGATGAGCAGCTGAAGCTGTTCATCAAGAAGAATAAAAGAATTCCACCTTTAAAGCTTCAACATTTAGTGTCCTCACATAACAAACATTTATTAATTTATAAAGTTTATCAGGTTGAACATTAAATATCTCGCCTCACGCCGGTGTTGAGCAGATGTGGTCACATGACCAGTGTTCCTACAGTTTAAAGCAAGTTAAATTTAACACTTTTTAAGACTTTTTAATGCCAACTGAAATTAAAATTTAGACCAATTTCATAATAAACACAAATGACAAAAAAAAACTGTGGCAGAAACTCATGAATCAAAGTTTTTTTGGTTGAAATATTCAAATATTTCTAACAGACCAAATGTTTTTATCCATATCTGACTACAGTAAAACATTTTTAGCAGTCAGTTTTAAACTTTATTTAGTTTCAGGAAATCCTCTAACAA